AAAAAAAAAAAAAAAAAAAAAAAAAACCCCAATAAAGTTGAAAACGGAAATGTAACATGCCCAAAATTCAATGTTAATCTGAATGGAAATTTTTTTTAAAAATCGAATGATTCAGGGAATCGCCTTTATTTTATGTTGTTCTTTCGATCAAATCAGGCAACTGTTCTGTTTCAAAATCAAAAGATTCGAAATCTTCTATCTCGAGGAGTTGAAATGAATTGCAAGCAGTAGAAATCTAATAAATCTAATAAGGAAGATCGAGATGGCGATTGAGATTTGTTGAGGATAATGAAGAAGAAACTCAGAATCGGAGCTATTCATGATTACCTGTTTGGTATCGGAGCTATTTATCCGAGACGGTTCCATATCTGAATCTGTAAGAGAAACTCAGAATCGGTAGCTACACGATCAAACCAAAACAAAATCATCACAAACCAGAACATTCCGCGAAGATTACAGGGGGAAATAACGAGCGAGAGAGAGCGATTATAAACTTGAGAGTCGATAAGCGCAGAGATCACAACGAGACTAAGAAACTGTACGATCGCCAGGACGATCGGCGACCTTCAAGGTCTTATCAATCAACAATCGAGCTTTTTGGCTACGGATTTCAATCTTGACGCTCGCGCTCTTGTCCATTTTTATGTATGGCTTCTTCGATTTCTTCGACTTCCTCAGTGCCTTCACCTTGGATTTTATGGATTCCACCAAATTGCCGAGCTGATTCGCCATTGAAGCCGCTGAAATCTCCAAATGGAAGAATCGAAACAGGAATTTTGCTGAATTAGGGTTTCAAAGAAGGGAAGAAGAAGAAGATGAAGGGGAATTATGTTGAAAGAGGTGTGAGATTGAATGGCTTCGGAGTCTTGGACTCTGTCAGTGGCGAAGCGCTTCCATATATATAGAAGAAACACGTACGCATTAGTGCGCCATTTTATGAATGTAAACAAGTCACCTTGTTTCACCATTAAATTACAGGTTTGCCATCACTGGCCACGGCGCATCCGTTGTCTCCGTCGGATTCTTAAGGCCTTCTCAAAATTCTTCAACATTCCAACCAGAAATCCATAGCCATTCCATTTTCTTTCACAAAACATAATGTTAAATCAAAAGAGGCTCAACAAAATTCACTTACGCATATTCACAAACACCTTGCGTGCAGCATTCAAATTCAAGCTCTATTCCTCACTCCCATGGCGGCAATCTGTTCCATCCCCTTCAAATCCGCCTCCCAATTCGCAGATCTTCTCCCAAATCTCCTTCGCTACCGGCACAACAGACAGTCTAGGTTGCCGAAACAGCGCGAAATCCTTCATCCCTTCGATCCCCTTCTTCATCTCTTTCAAATCCACCGCTTCTCTCATTTCCCCGACCGCCTCGACGTCGACGACAGCGTCGCCGCCATCGCCCTCCAAATACCACTCCCGTGCGACGGAAACCACGCCGACGATGCGGCGGGCCTTGGCGCCGGAGTGGTAGAAGAAACAGAGGTCGCCGAGTTTCATGGACTTGAGATACTTCTGCGCTTGCTTGTTCTTGACGCCGTCCCACTTTGTTCGGCCGCCATTCGCGGCTTGGTCGGCCCACGACCACTCCGCTGGTTCCGTCTTCAGAAGCCAGAACTGTTTTTTGTCTCCGGCGGCCGCGTCAGCCATTATCTTCGATGAACTGGTTGAGGTTATGGTGGTTTTGGTAGTTTTGGTAGTAGGGAGAGGGAGAAGAGAAAGTGAAGTCGGTGATTTTCCCGGCGGGAAAATTGCGCTTACATTGGCGCCTATTTCTGTGGCTCTCGTTAATTTATGAAGACGTTATTTAATTGCGAAACTGCCATAAATACAAAATTATAAATATAAATAATTTTTCTTTCCAATATTTGTAATTACCTCAATAATTAAAAGAAAAACATAAATGAGAGGCACTCATTTGAAATGTCAAAAAAGCCCTTTTTATTTTTTCATCAATTAAAATTTTATGATTTTTCAATGAAAAACAATTTTATCAATTCTAATGAAGAAATAACACAAAAAAAAAAAAAAAAAAACTTTTTTTTTTTTTTACTGCACGGACATGTTGACATGGAATACACAATATGATATCATGACCCGAAAGAAGTAACTAAATTTAAGTTTAGTATATCGGATTTGATCAACCGGAACATAACTCAATTGGTTAAGAATATACATTTGACCAAAAGGTCAAAGATTCGAGCCGAAGAATGAGGTGCAAATAATCTTCATGGTCTTTGCTTATCTGTGTAGATATAATCAGCATGGGCTGCAAGAGTTTTCCTCATCAAGCAATGTTCTTCTCCAATTCCACAGCTCTCCTCTTCCAAAACATCATCCACAACCTTAAACTTCACAAAAAAAAATAAAAAAAAATAAAAAACCTCAATATTTACTGCTTTTAATCAGGCATTATATTAGCTAGAGAAAATATTGATAAATTCACGTACCCCGTCTCGAGTAGTCCCAGGAGACATGTTTGTAGAGCCGGGAATGGGCCGAGCAAAAACGGAGGTCGTCGAGGAGAATAAAAAGAAGAAAAGGAAGAGAAACGTGAAGATGGAGGTCACAAGCTTGGAAGCCATTGAGAGAGATGGGGAAGAGGAGGGACTGTGGAGATGAATATAAAGACATTGTGAAGGGCAATTTTGGAACTTCATGGCTAAAGGAGCCATCATGGATTTTAGTAACATAAAATATCAACAATTTTTTTTTTTCTTTCTAATTATATGATTCATTATTAACTTTTAAAGAATATTTATATTTAATACCATAAAAGTGGAGAAATAATATTTTTTGTATAAAGGTTAATATAAATTTATAGAAGGAAATAATTAGGACGGTTTAAAAGCAAATATACGACGCATTTGTCAACGGCTATTCTCGTGAGAAAAGTGTCGGGCCATACTTGGTTGTACAAGTTCACATGCTACAATCGATGTGTCGTCCCAATCTTGTCTATTCTAGGTTTTTGGTTTTTTCTCTTTTTAAGGGCTGTTTACATGATTAGGGCTATGTCTCTCACCCACAATTTATTATCATTACTATAATTATTTTCATTGGAGGAAACATGGGGTTTTTAAGCATATATTTGATTAATTAAATTTGCTTTGATTTATTAATTTAACATAAATTTGGTAAGTGTGTAAAATATATATATATATATATATAGAAAAGTTCAAATATTTTCCAAAATTTGATTTAAATATAGATCGAGATTTTAATATATGGTTTAGAAAATATTGATTAATATATTATTCTTATTTTTGGTGGGGAGGGAATATATTATATAACAAGGTGCATTAAATGTGGGAAACAAAACTAAGAAAGCATAATGATAATGATGACAATTAAGCATGCCTCTTGCATCCAAAAATTGCAAAACATAATGGGAGGCTTCAATGATATACTTATATGGGTAGGTCCTCTAATATGATTTCGATTTCCCTAATAATGCTAAAGGTCAGCTTTGGAGGCCAAACCTCCCGTCTTTAAAATAAGGTAAACATTGACTTAATTGATTGAACTATGTTTATGTCAAAAGAACTTTATTATAAACTAATTTGCTCAGGAACGAATAAAATATTTAATATGGTTGATTATCGAGAAGAATCAACTTGAACAGATACATATTGACCTATGAACCTAACTATACATAAATTGTCTACAAAAAGGAAAGAGTCGTGCTACTTTATTATCTCTCTATTAGCTGAAATTCGCAGAAGGCGTGCACTTGTGGGCTCATTCCAAAATTTCAAAACATTTAAAAAAAATAAATAAATAAGACTTTCTAAAGTAACATTCTAACTACTCAATCAACAGCCAGGTAAAAAATTTCAAGGATTCATGTTTCTTGATAAATCGTATAGAGAAGGCTGTGGAGCAATAGTTCTGTTGTTTTTATGACAATATAATGTGGGCAAAGAAGAGGGAAAAAGTAGAAGCAATAAGAGACACCAAGGGAGGGATGAAAGGAGAATCATATATGGTCAAACTCTATGATATTTGCCTCTTTACCAATGTTCAAAAGTCAGCTGTTCATACTTCATCCATCTTTTTCCCCCCTTGATCTTCACGGGCTTCTCTTCTTTTTCACATAATAGTTGCAACACAAGATTTGGTGGCCAACCATTCTAAAAGATCGAGAGGTTCAATTCTATTTTTTTTACGTTCGACGTGTGGAGTGGAAGATTAAAACCTCTGACCTCTTCATTAAAGATCTTCAATTAAGATATACTTGAGTTGGCTAAACCAGAGCATATGTTCCTTGTAATGCAACCAATGGTGCTGCTAGTGAATTACTAGGACTCTTTTTGGGTACAGCCACAAATAACTAAGATCTGAAGAGGAAATTCAAGATTGAAAGAATAGGTCAAGTATAATTCTCTGTAGACAACCGACCAACAATGTTTGTGAGCAAGGGTAGAGCCGAGAAGAAAGGCGGGAAACAAGTCTCTGTAGACACCCGACCAACTATGGTTTATGGTGAGCAAGGGTAGAGCCAACAAGAAAGGAGGGAAGCAACCCGACCAACTATGTTTGTGGTGAGCAAGGGTAGAGCCAACAAGAAAGGAGGGAAGCAACCCGACCAACTATGTTTGTGGTGAGCAAGGGTAGAGCCGAGAAGAAAGGAGGGAAGCAACCCGACAACCTATGTTTGTGGTGAGCAAGGGAAGAGCCGAGAAGAAAGGAGGGAAGCAACCTGACAACCTATAGTTTGTGGTGAGCAAGGGTAGAGCCAAGAAGAGAGGAGGGAAGCAACCCGACCAACTATGGTTTGTGGTGAGCAAGGGTAGAGCCAAGAAGAGAGGAGGGAAGCAACCTGACCAACTATGGTTTGTGGTGAGCAAGGGTAGAGCCAAGAAGAGAGAAGGGAAGCAACCCGACCGACTATGGTTTGTGGTGAGCAAGGGTAGAGCCAAGAAGAGAGGAGGGAAGCAACCTGACCAACTATGGTTTGTGGTGAGCAAGGGTAGAGCCAAGAAGAGAGGAGGGAAGCAATCCGACCGACTATGTTCGTGGTGAGCAAGGGTAGAGCCGAGAGGAAAGGAGGGAAGCAACTCGACCATGTTTGTGGTGAGCAAGGGCAGACAATAAAGGACGGAAGCAATTTTCTTCTTAAGTTCGTCTAAAGTGTACCATCCTGCTCTAGTCCCCAACTTCAAAGTTATAGCTTTCTCTTCAATTCAGTACAAAGGGTCTACTATCTTAAAATGAAAATCCAGGCATAAAAATACGTTTGTGACCAACAGAGACAGCTTATTGACAATAAATTAGTGTATACACAAAGCCAAAAAAGGATTTAAACATCATCAAATATTTTAGGTTAATAAAAATCCCACTAATAGTTAATATAGGAGTAAAAAAACTACCTACTTGCCCCGTCGTCACCACATTCCCCGTCTTCAAGCTCCTCGTGGTCAAAATTCTTAGACGAGCCATTTCGATGTTCTCTCTTGTGCCTTCTATGTCTGCTTTCACCATCCGAGTCATGAGCAGATGCATGCTATAAAATCAAATGCGAGGCCACACGACGAATAAGGGGGCATAGAATTAAACGGCATTGGTATTTAGAGAGAAATATACTGTGATGGGAAAGAAAAAGGAACGTACCCGCCTAGATTTCTTCCGGTCTTTATGCGATTGGGATTTCTTCGATCGATCATGACCTGCTTCATCTTCGTCTGAATACTCATCATCGCTATACCGTCTCTTTCTTTGTTTCTTACTACGTTCTTTCTCCAGTCTCCTGTTCTCTTTCGACTCAAGGGTATCCGAACCATCAGCATTTTCATTGTCTACTCCATCTTTCTTCGAGTTCTCCTCCTTTTCCCTTTCCTTTTCTCTTTCGCTTTTTCTGTGTTTTTCCTTCCTTCTATCTCTTTCCTCTTTGTCTTTTTCCTTTCTCGCCTATCAAATTGGCGAAAAGAAATTCATAAGATCGACATTATATTAAATGATATCATGCATATAGGCACAGCGAAAAGTCGAGTGTTGATGGTCAATTTCACACGCCTCAGGATAAAACATAACAAGCATAAACAAAATTCAATAACTAATAGAAAAGAAAATTCATACCTTTTCCTCCTTTCGCTTAGTGTCGTTTTCTTTTGCATGTTCTTTCAGTTGTGCAATGTACTCCTCAAATATTTCCTTACAGAAGCTCTCGTCCTCGATCGAACTAAAAAAAATTAAATTCAATCACAAGTCGTCCTCCTTTCGCTTAGTGTGGTTTTTGTTTGAGAGGTCTAAGCTTTAAAACAAACTATATGATATGAAATAACATGTTGACAACAAGGAATACCTGTACTCTTGGCTTCCTTCAAAAAGGGGTTTGCTGTCTTCCCAATTTGAATATACAGATATTTCCTACAACAATGCAAAAAAAAAAGACCAACTCATTTACTCGGTTAATCTTATGTAACTAAGATACAAACTGGCATTGAAGTGACAAACCTTAAATGAACATAAAAGACTAAAAAAATCATCTCCGAGACGTTTACGCTTCTTAGCTTCTTTCTCCTCCTTCTCCCTGGCCCGTTCGAGCAATTCATCAAAAATTAGCTGCAAACCAAGTCCATGCATGATTAAAAGGGGAGCACATGAGAAAGAACATGTGAACGATATAGAAAGTATTTCAAGTCAGCAATTTTTATCGAGAATAAGACGAGGGTATCTAATACAAAGAATTTATCACGTAAACAATTAAATACAAGTTATATGAGCATCGAGGTCTCTTCTAATTTTCAGCAAATGCATCTCTAATTCAATACGAAGACAGGCTAGATTATAGATACTAGATATCCAACATGTATCACCGTATTACAAACAAACATTCATAGAAAGAGAAGGCTCCACCAGCCACCTGTATGACAATGATAACAGATAGCCTTACAAGATCAGAATCCCAACCTGAGACACCAAAGGCCATCACTAAAGAAGGCCAATCACTTATTCAACCAAACAAGCTACGTGAAAAGCACTCAAGACTATCACTCAGACCACATTCATAAAAAGGCTAGATCTTTTGTAGGTTGCTAGACTCCATCAAGAACAAGGAAGAGTAGGCCTGAAAAAGTACCTTTAAGTTGCTGTCTGATATTGGAGGATTGCTGATATCTTTTGAAATGGCAGCTTTAAAGTCGTCAAGTGTCCATGACAATGACATTGCAATCTGATGGTCCCAAGAGATCGAGATTAGGTATACAAGCTACCAGTGATGGACAAGGAAAAAAAAAAGCTTATGCAGACCGACAATACCTTTCTCAGCTTCAAAGCATCTTTTATTCTCGTTTTATCATCACGATACTGCAAAAATACCGGCCCCAAAAAGAAATATCAAATCAGCCTCAATAGAACAGCATTTCATCAATGCGAAAGTGGAGGCAGGAAAATTATATCAGAGTACAGTGACCCGGAAAGACTTGCAATAACCACAAAAGTAAGATCATCAGAAAAGCATAGAGATGTATTTAGGCATGGGGTCGCAGATAATACAGCTAAAAATAGAAATTAGTACAGGGAGATTTCATGAGGAAAACACTCTACTTTACAAGATCAGTAATGGAACATAGCATTTCAAACA